TTGTGATTCTTGCATAAATCGATAGCGCGGAGAAAAGTTGTTATATAATTTAAAAATGAAGAAAGGAGATTTTCTAGTTTTCTACGATAATTTCGAAAGTATCCTCTTTTTGGTGCGAAATTCCACGAAAGCCTCCCTTGCTTTTGAAAAATTCTTGATTTTGTCACTGGATGTGTCACCACCATGGAGCTATTACTCATCAACCAGCAAACATGCGCAGATTCCCACTGTTAGATCTGGCAGTTTTACCAAACAAAATTATTTTTTTTTATAATGGCTTGGTATCCATTTAACCGAATTCAGTAAGCTCTGGAGTGCACTTGTCAAGCATGTTGATTCATCAACCGATCATACACTTCACATGGCACTCATTAGCACACGCTGAAGAGGACATTGATATGAGGAGCGGACTGGTTGCTGCCATGCAGGAACTAGCTTGCTGATGCACTTGAACGTGGCGTGATCAGTTCGAGCTGCACATTAACCTTCCACTTCTACCAGTTGATTACAAGCTAAAATGAGTGAAAGCGGTCGGAGCGAAACGAAGCAAAAACGCTGGTGCCTGCGTGCACCACTGGAAAATTGTTGCACCAAATGTATGGGCAAATACTGTCGCTTTGTTGCCAGGTTTCTCGATTCTTTAGCTAAATATTCAGAAAATCCAGCCTTTTTGCGTCTCATTTACTTATTTATTCCTTTAAATTATTTTAATTTTAGTTAGTTTTGCGACAATGAAAAAAGTGAAATCCATGCACCGGGTTGAAAACTTCTGTTAAATTGCTTTGAACCTCATTTTACTGCAAAAGAAATTTTTTGAGTATGAAAGATCGAAATGATGTACTAATTTGTACTGGTTGCAGACATCCACTGGCGTTTATTATGGTCCCATTTTTTATAACTTGTCTACTTGGAACGGGAATAATCCTCAAATTTAAAATTGTAAGGGGTGTACACTATTTGTACACGCCGCTTGATGCCCAATGGAAGCTGGAGAACAGGGTGTTCCAGGAATTCTGGGCCAGTCAGGATGATCTTTATTATCCAGGTTTGTTTAACAAGTTTGAATTTATCACCCACACTCATACTACTAAATGGTTTTTAAACTTTGCTCCAAATTCATCTTTTGTTAAGGAAAAGACGTATTTCGCCGTAAAAGCGTTTTCCTGCTAATTGAGGCCAAAGACGGTGGCAGCGTGCTGAGGCCAGCCTACGCCAGCGAATTTGTGAATCTGCTGGACTGGCTTGCTAACGAAAAGTTCGTTACCAGCGATGGAATCCAGTACACCTATCGCAACATATGCCTTCATTATCACCGCGAGTGTTTCCAAAACTCACACGTGCGATTTATCGCAGACACATTTCGTTGCGGTGACCAGGTGCTTACAGCAAAATTTTTATAATATAATATCAAGTTATATTAGAGACGGGACGGAACTAAGGTGGCTGTGCTAGCGACTTACTGACTGGCCCTCTTACACAAATGTGCTGTGTGTCCTTGCTTCTAGCACGGTGAAATCAATGAAATCATGTCTTGCTCGCCTATGACGCAGCAATACAGATATGCTGACTCAGTTTTTTCAATCGAGGGTGGCACTCTATAAGAAAAAGGGTGTTTAGCCATACGTGGTCAGAATGGTCGTTTCAGATTTCTCACTAGTTTTTATAGCCGTCAATTAGATTAATCATTGGCGACGCGCACCGGGCGGACGCATCAAGCGTTTTTGCAGTATTTCTTGCTGTAATGAGATCGCTCGGAAACCCAGTAGCTAGAAATGTGTGATAAACTAATCCTCGGAGTCCAGAAAGTTAACTGTCCACGCGGTATTTGTACAGGGAACATTTCGTTGCAATTTCAGCTTTCCAAATTTTCTGGTTCCCGAGTTAGCCACTGTCCTACCAAAAACCTTCACGGGACCGTGCGTGGGAACCACGCATGTTCGAGAGTTGAATTTGTTAAGTTAGCTAGACGTGTGGTGGGAGTATTCTCTGAAAATTTCACCCTACCAGCTCTTCTGGTTTCTGAGTTAGCCATTTTCGCGCCAAAAACTTTCACTGGGCCGTACGTGGTTACCACTCATGTTGAGGGGCTGAATTTGATGATTATAAGTTGTACTTGTGTTGGGAACGTTCCCTGAGAATTT